CAGACCTATTCATGACTCATTGTGCTCTTTAATTATGCAATTTAATTATTAAATAACTATTACAGAAATGGTTGAGATGGGTTGGCTACTTTGGAAAGAGTCAGTAAAGGTAATTTTTAAAATTGCTTTGCAATTAGGTATGAATAAGACAAGCTTAAAACTGTAAAAGTATTCTATACTTAGATTGCTTTGTAAGCTTTTTTACATTCTTGTTCCACTTTTCCACTTAAACCAAAATTGGAAATATTGGAGAATATCCTATGTGTGTGATATATATAGAAGACATATCTTGGAACCTTCTATCAGTGGTTTTACGTTCAAAGAAGAGAGGCTTAAGTCCTACAGCAAAAGATTGGTGAATGAGGTACATTTTGGGGGGTTTTAAGAAATGTTTCTTTTAATTATTTTTGCCCCCTTTCCTTTTTTTAAGGAATCCCAGATGGACAGAATCGGGTTAGTCATAATCCTTGCTTCATGATGTACTATCATAATTGCTCCATGCGTAGCCTGACTTTATTTTCTTTCTTTGTATTATGTATTTCTCTGTATGTGACCAAACTGCCAATAATATGGTTACCATGGCTACATTACAAATAACCCCAAAACTCAGTGGCATAAAAAACCATTTATTGTCCTCACAGGTCTATGGATCAGCAATTTGGAGAGAATACAGTGGGGAAGGCTGGTCTCTGCTCCATGGTGCCTGGGGCTTCTGTTGAAAGACTTAGAAGTCTCAGGGCTGGAATCATCTGGTTTGCTCACTCATTGTCCTGGCAGTTGATGCTGGCTGTCACCTGAGACCTTAGCAGAGAGTGTTAGCAGAAACACCTATGTGTGGCCTCTCTGTGTGGACTGGGCATTCTCACAGCATAGTGGCTGGGTTCCAGGAGCAAGTGTCTCAAGAGAAAGTGAGCCAAGAGGAAGTTGTATTTTTTTTAATGACCTAGCCTTGGAATCAGATTGGACATTGCCACCTTCAACCCTGTTCCACATTGATTTTTGTGGGGTGCTTGTTTTTTTATCACAGCAACTGCTGAGACCATCTTAACAAAGATACAATATCATCAAAAGGAATGTAGCAATATACAGTGGCCTTCTGTATTCTTGGGTTCTGCATCCTCAGATTCAACCAACCACAGATCAAAAGTATTTTAAAAAAAAAAAAAATAAGTAACAATACAACAATAAAAATAGTACCAATTAAAAATACAGTATAACAACTATTTACACAGCATTTATATTGTATTAGGTATTATAAGTAATCTAGAGATTATTTAAACTGTATGGGAGGATTGCATTGGTTATATGCAAATACTATGCCATTTTATATAAGGAACTTGTGCATCCATCTGTGGGAAGGGTGGGATCCTGGAAACAACATCCCCATCCCACCACCCCACCACCTACCTTGCAGATACTGAGGAACGAATGTAATGTTAAAACTGTGAACTGCCAGTTTATATAGTTACTGGCAGATGTGGCTGTATTTCCCTATGGTACTCCAGAGTGCCTTAGGGCACAGTTTGGGAACCAGGGTTCCAAGGGGAGAACGTGTGTCTCCCCCACTCAGCTTTAGCTAAGGTAGAGTCAAGGCTGGGGTCTGGAATCATCTGAAGCCTTGTTCACTTAAATTTCCAGTGGTTGGTGCTGCCTGTTGGCTGAGACTTTAGTTGGGGCTCTTGGCCAGTACACTTACCTATAGCCTGTCCATGTGGCCTGGGCTCCTTGCCTGGTAGCTGGGTTCCAAAGATAAACGTCTCAAGAGAGATGCAAGTGAAAGCTGTATCTCATTATATGATGTAGACTCACAAGTCACAGCGTGTCACTTCTATCACGTTCTGTTCAAGGCAGTCACAAAGTTTCCTCTGGTTTTGAGGGGAGGCGAGATAGATTCCCCCTCTTGATGGGGAGTGGCAATGTTTTGGAAGAGCATGTGAGACCAGAAATATAGCTGTCTCTATTTCTAAAAATATAACCTGCGTGACTTGGTAACCTGATAACTGTAGAATGTCAGCTGTATTGTAGGCAACATTGTCATGACAAAATTGACCCCTGATTGATAGATTGCATCTAGCCTGGGAGAACTGCAGGTACTGGATGGGGACACCATCCTTAGAGCTTCCTTTAGTGCAGTTACTCTTGCCACTGCATGTCTTTCTCAGGGACCTTGGAAATTCTGCATGTGATCTTGTTACAAGAGATATTGGCTCCTCTGTCTGCATGATGGAGATCTCATATCTTAATTCTGAGATAACTCTGTGAAGTGTCACCCTCATGAACATGGGAGGACTCCCACTAAGAGGGACACCCGAGGCTGCCCTGCTAGTCTGCTGTGCTTCTATCTTTTACCTTCCTCAATAGATGGGGCCAGGTGTGTCTGGTAGTCTTGTGGTCTGAATGTTTAGTGAAAGGTTTTTCTTATGGAAAATGTAAAACATATGCAAAGTACACAAAATTGTGTAATAAACACTTTGTACCTGTCAGCTTTAACAATGATCAATATTTTGTCATTCATATATCATTTCTGTCTCCTACTTCACGATGACGATTTATCACTTTTTTTTTTTAGGTAAAATTTACATAAAATGTAAATCTCAGCTGTAGGATTTTGACAATGGAAAAGCCCATGTAACCCATGCACTTATCAAGACACAGAATCTTTCCCAGTTTCATCTTCCTAGTCAGTAGCCTTCTGTCCTAAGGCATTTGCTGTTCTGTTGTTTGTTTGTTTTTTCACCTCAGATTAGTTTTGCCTGTTCTGGAACTTGATGTAAATGGAATCATACAGTGTGTACTCTTTTGTGTCCAACTTCTTTCATTTGGTCTAATGTCTATGAGATTCATTCATGTTGTTGGTATAAGCTGAGTACAATTACATTGTATGGACATATCACAATTTGTTTATCCATTCTGATAGACCTTTGGATTGGTTTCAGTTTGGGGCCATTATGAGTAAATCTTCTATGAACAGGTTAAGCAC